AATCTAACACCAATTACTTCTCCTCCTGCCCTTTGGTTTCCATAGTTCACCGCAATGCCTCATAGAATGCACAACGTGCACTTACAGATAAGTGGCTTAGTAGGGAAGTACAGTACAACTCCAGAGCAGGAATGCCTCCAAAGTAACACGAGGTGAGAGAGTACCGTTCTTTATCGAGACAGATGCTTCTTGCCCTCACCTGTTGGGGCCTGTGCAACAAGCTCCTTGAATTTGCCTGGCACAGTCTCTGGTCCCTGCCACCTCTGTCTCCTTAGAGGAGGAACAAAGTCCTCATCAGGGGTACATGAACCTTATTTGCATTAGCAGCAAACTGTCCAATCCCTAACTGGGCCACAAGCATCTCATTTGCATAGTCCCACCCAGTCATTGTGTGGAAGTCACAAAGACTGGGGTCAGAATGGCTGTATTATAAGTAGTTCAGTACACTGCGGTCTTACTTCATCTTAAAAATGTTATTCTGCAAAACCGATGGGGGCAAAGTAAACTAGTATCTTGCTCTGCATCACGTAACTAACAAATAGGGAACTTGCGTTCCAAATCCGCAATTAGCTACTAGTTAGTTGTACACTGGGCACCACCAAATTGATAAAGCTAATGCTGAGGTAGCAGAATAGATGCTAAGGGCTAAGCTCAAAACTTGCCTCTCTCCAGTTTCTTCCTTCTCCTAGTCCCTGAATGGCTCATAATCATGTAGCTTGAAGGGGAGTTGATAAACTCATTGAAAACATTACAATTTTGCTACTAAGGCATGCAGATGCACATACAGGTGGTCCCTAGTTCTGTTCTCAAGTTAGGTATGGTTCACTGCTAAGGTCAATTAGTCAAATGCTTGTCTCACTCTGTAGTCTATGCCTTCCTATATACAAACCATTGAAGAATCACTTTTGGATACACTAAACTATCTTAAACATAATATTAATACTAATAACTATAATTTTTATATTACAAAATAGTACTTGTTTATTATAAACCATAAGATGTACCTCAGTTGTTGTCTTTTAATAATAGACTTAATGGGGGTTGGTTCATAACTGCATTTTACTTAAATTGGGCTTTCATAACCTGGGGACTGCCTATATAGCCAATGATCGAATTTTCTTTACGGGTTGGATCCGTGTGCACTCAGAAGGGGCTTGGAAGGACAGGCCTAGTTATCAACTTCTAAAAAACCAGCCATTGAAATCCATGTGGAGCACACTTGGACCCTGGCATGTATGGGGTCAGCTTGCATTGAAACCAACTGAATGCCAACTGGTTTTGTTTGGTTTGTATGAGCTGTTACTGGTGCACCTAATGGAAATGGGTAGGGGAATGAAGGGTTTCAGGCATATGTAAGTGACTGGTAGCTGAGATCACATGGGAAAGTGAGGAAGGTTTGAGGTTTTGAGCTAAAACATATAGAGAGATTGAGAAAATATTTGAAAATGTTTTGGTCAAAGAGCTTGAAAGGAGAGGCTAGCAATCAGAGACTGAGGGCTGGGAAGGTGCTTCCCTGGAGATGATTTTTAAAAAGCAGAAGAAAGATAATTTGGGTGTGGAGAACTAGAATGAAGGAAGGGATGGGAATAAAACGGATTTCAGAAGCAGGAAGTGGTTTGGGAAGAATCGTGAGCAGTTTGATTCTACCGAATTTGAGACGACAGCTCGTACTCATATCCTATAGGACAGGAGAGAACAGCCCGCGTGAGTTTCCGAGACTTTAACTCTTTACAGAATTCATATCGCTGTGAGTGGACATGAATTCAATGGCAGTGAGTGTGGTTTGGGGTTTGGATGAAACCAGGGAGACAGACAAGCTGGACAAAGTCATGGTTGGATCTAGGACCCACTTCCTTACAAAAGTACCACAGTTCTGTTGTGGGTAAAAAATCAGTTTCTGATATAGAAGCCTATATTTTTTACCCACATGCCTTAGGTGGGGTTTTGCTGCTCTTTTTTATCCATTGAGCTCTGGAAATTTTTTAAACTGTTCTTCCACGTGTAAGAATGGGAAGAATGTTCAGACGTGCTAGTCACTCATTCGGAATCTTTGAAGATATCATTTCTTTCACACTCTGGGTACTTGTACAGTGATTCTATGACTTCAATTTTTTTTTTAAGTTTCCTTTGTGTTGATTCTGAATTAGGGCACCCCCATGTGTGAACTGTACCCTATGGGCTTTCAATGGCGTTTATTTGTTCTTCATTTAGGACTTTTCTTCCCAGGTATCTCCTGGTGGACTCAAACGTCCAACCTTTCCGTTTGCACCACGCTTCCATAGCAGCTGCCTTTCTGCAGATGAACACTCCAAGAAATCTAAGTAGAAGGAAGTTCAAAGCTTATGACCTCATCTCAAAGTCACATAATATTCCTTCTGCTACATTCTATTGATGTAAAGCAGGCCACAGAACCAGCCCAAGTTAATGGACTATCCCAGGGTGTGAACACAGGAGATGGGGTTTCGTGTGGGGCTGGGGGCTGGGGGTGGAGACTATTTACCAAGATTTTCACATACTGGGATTATTGCCTCTTTCTACATTTCAATAACTGCAATATCTGAAAGTTACTGCCTTATATCTTGCTTCATGTTTGCATTCTTTTCCTAATGGTTTGTATTAGCAGATGGAAAATGTCTGAGAAGAATTCTAATGCATGCTCTCAAATCAATCAGAAGAATGAATTTTCACTTAGCCATATGAAAACTAATCACCTAAAGGGGCCTATCGAAAGGCTCTGTGACTGTATTTTCAGAAAGTCTCTTTGGAAAATCAAGATTTGATTCACCTTTTAACCAATGATGATTGCATATCAAAGTTAAAAGGCAGATCAGTTTTACAGAAAAGTGATACGCGATCATGGGCGAGTGTCCTTGGGTGAACTTTCCAACAATATTGCTTTTCATGCTTAGCCATTAATTAGAAAACCTGCCCTCTGCTTGGGAAGGACCATGATTTACTTTCTCCTTGGGCTCCTTTCTCTATATTCAAGCCAGAGCTGTTTGGTTTCTGTTTTCAGAGAGAGAACTGGAATATACAAGATTTGTTGCACTGGTGCAAAGGCCAGTTCAGAAAATGCTTTAAGATCACTCGTGGACACGGCTTCGCTTTGCTTCTCCTGTTCCCTGCTTAGCTTCTCCTCAAGGGTTGTTGACTTTTAGAATTATTATTAATATGAAAGCAGTTAGATTTTCAAAACGTTTTCTCTCTGATGATTATGGACAATACATGTGGGAAATTGGAAGCGGCAAAGAATTTGATTTTTTTTTTTCTATCCACAAGTCCCGAGAAAACCGAGCCATAAAATATTAACTTGCTCATGAGATTTCATTGTGGGCATGATTAAGAAAAACACTGCAAGTAGAGCAACAGGGCAGAACCGTCCCCTAATCTGGGGAAAACAGTCAAGGATTTACAGTGGGAAACTACAAACACTCCCCCTCTTTTTCCTTTACAAAGATTATGAGTTAAGTATCTGAGGTGTGATACCTTTTGTCTCACAAAGAGCTTTCTAAGTTGACTGAAAATTATTGTTCGTTATTGAAGTTTTTCTACAGTTTGCTTTTATGCAGGGAAAGATTTAATTTTAAAAAATCATATGGACTCAATTCTATTATGTTTTTCCTATTCACATAATTGCAAATAGCAAAGTGCCCCATTGATGATTTACCTCCATGCCTCTTTTCTCTTATTTGAGATTCTGGTGGTGTAGTGGGTCAGGCTGCTAACTGCAGCAAAGCCAGCTGTTCAAAACCACCACCTGCTCTGCAGGAGAAGCACGAGACTTCCCACTCCTGTAATGATTTGAAACAAATGGTGATTCCAGCAGCTTCACAGTATTGAGGCTTCTTCTCTTCCAAATGTTTCAGACTCAGCTGCAACTAGTATGGAAGAATTTTAGGGAGGATAGCCCTTTTTGCGTGACACTTTGATTGAAATGTCCATTGAACAACAGTCAACATGTGCCATCCCTTGAAGTGCCTTGCTGCCTCTGGTCCCCTGGCACTCCACCCCACCTTCCTCCACAACTCTCATCATGGTTACTACTTATGAACCATTGACAATAAGATGAGAGGGAGCATGGGGCCCACAACTGCCAGATGTGTCCATAGTCACCATTGAACTTATTTCTAGAACATTCCCGTGGAGGCTGATTAAACCAATTTTGTTTGTTTTTTTCTTTTCTTTTGTTTTTCATCATTTTATTAGGGGCTCATACAACTCTTATCACAATCCTTACATACATCAATGTGTCAAGCACATTTGTACATTCATTGCCCTCATCATTCTCAAAACTTTTGCTTTCCACATGAGCCCCTGGCATCAGCTCCTCGTTTTTCCCTCCCTCCCCGCTCCCTCCCTCATGAACCCTTGAGAATTGATACATTATTATTTTGTCATATCTTGCCCTGTCCGACGTCTCCCTTCACCCCCTTTTCTGTTGTCCGTCCCCCAGGGAGGAGGCTCTATGTAGATCCTTGTCATCGGTTCCCCCAACCCATTTTTGTATACGGAGAATAGTCTCTGGGTGACAAAAAGGGGTTGTGTTCAGCTACTAGTCTGAAGATTCGCAGTTCAGACCTGCTTGTCAGCAAAGCCAGAGGGGCCTGGTACTCCGCTTCCTTACAAATTAGACCTGGAAAACCCTGTGGAGCAGTCGTCCAGAGTGATGCACGGGGCACCAGGCGTGAGAAGCCATGGAACAGCAATGTTCTGCTTAGTGTTTTGGTTTGATTCAGGCAAAAACCCAAAGCCAAGAGGTTTAAATCACTTGTGCCTGTGCAAATTGTGTAAACTAAATATTTACATGAAAGAATTGCAAGTCTAGGGAGATTCTGTAATCTTTGGGTAAAATAAAGGATTTCATGTAAGCCTATCAGATTGCATTAGCCAGTGTTCTGGTAATCAGCTTACAAAGTAATGCGGGGGACGTTCAGGAGGTGAGCCTGTGGCACTTAGTCAAATAACAATAGCTGTCACTCTCTCTTGTTTAATCTTTATAGTGGAGTACGACAAGGAGTTCTCCCCTCGCCAGCGACACCACAAAGAGTTCAAGTTCAACCTATCCCAGATTCCTGACGGTGAAGCAGTGACGGCTGCAGAATTCCGAATCTACAAAGACTGTGTTGTGGGGAGTTTTAAAAACCAAACTTTTCTTATCAGCATTTACCAAGTCTTACAGGAGCATCTGCACAGGTATGAAGGCTCAAGGAAACCCCAAAGGGTAGGGCTGGACCACCTTTCTCGCCTTATCATGCAATGCACAGGTGTCTATGGAAGGTGGCGCAGGGTTCAGTTCGGTGTGGAAATGATGAAGGGTTTGTTCTGCATGGTAGTATTGAGCTGGCAAGATGACTGTTGAGGGCTCCCCAAGTAGTTCTTCTTCCAGTGAATGGTATAGGCTAAGTTGGATAGTGGACAGGAGATAGAAAGCTTGCCACTGTCACTTAGCCCTCGCAATTGAATGATGTGAAAGCGTAGCTCAATTGAATTCACACATAAAGATATTAATTGAAAAAAAAAGAAAAGATACTCATTGAAGCCAGCATATGGTTGTGTTTCTGCAACTGAGTTTTTTTCATCTTGGAGTTAGTCTGTGTATGTACACATTGACCAGTTGGGTTTTTTTTTTATTATTTGAATAGAGAGATCACTAGATGCACCTATATATATGAAAGATTCAAACTCACTCTCATCGAATCAATGCCAACCCTATAGGACAGGGTAGAACTGCCCCTGTGAGTTTCCAAGACTGTGACGATTTTTTTAAATCGTTTTATTAGGGGCTCATACAACTCTTATTACAATCCATACATACATCAATTGTGTAAAGCACATTTGTACATTCATTGCCCTCATCATTCTCAAAACATTTCCTCTCCACTTAAGCTCCCGGCATTA